TATGAAAGTGCCAAGTATTTGTTGTACCAAGTGTTATACAACATAAATCTAGATTAACTATTTAACAAGCAAAGTATCAAAAATGACCAAGATAACAAATACAAAACATGTAAGTATCAAATATTAAGGTCCATGTTGAGTTTATACTATACTTATTCTTACACCATTAATGTAATCTTTTCAACTTGACATAATAAACTTAACTAAACATAGTGAATAAAAGAAAAATAAACGAACAAAATAAGAACATAAATATGATAAAAGTTAACTAAGTAAAGGAAAGAAAATGAAAAGCATAAACTTGATATTAATAAAAGCAAAACATAAGCAATACAAAAGAAAGAAAGCAAGAGCATGATCTTGATTTGAAAATTAAGATGTCTAAACACATGGTAAATGCTTCTTTTTTAGGCCAAAATTAAGAACTATTGATTTGATGATTAATTGATGAGTAAGTAACCAACTCTTGACTTGGTGACAATCCTTATTTTCTCTTGTCTAAATCAAACGTTATTGATAACGTTATAATTTGAACCAGACCTCTGCATAAAAGTTGTAGGAAATTGTCTTAGCTTTCTAGAAAAAAAAATTGAGGTCATTTGGACCTCTAGAACTCTAGATATGGGCTGAACACTAAACAGTATCTGGGTTGCAAGAGATATTCAGATTTCTTTGTTGTTGTTATAATTTAGACTTGAAAACAGTCTTATTAAAACTAAACCTCCACATGAAAGTTGTAGGCCTATGTCTTACCTTTTCATCTATATAAAGCAAACCTAAATCTAAGATCTACAGCTCCAGATATGACCCAATTACCAAACAGTATTCTAGTTTGAACTGTACCAACATCTCTTTTTTAAGTTTGGCCATCTCTTTGTCTTTTCAATTTCAGTTTTTAAACTCATCAATTAATCATTTCATTTATATGACAGGCCTGTATTTAAAATGAATATTTATCAAAAATTAAAAGTATATTATATTATTACATATTTTATTATAAAATATGCTTTAGTTAAGAAGTTATTGATATTTCTAGTACAAATTAAACTAAATCATATGTTTTTCTACCTTGATAAAAATACACTTTTAAGTACTAATCACTTTCCCCATATGATTTAGTTTTATTGTAATTATAATTCTCAATCAACTTAATATTAAAAAAATAAACAAAGATAGTTTTGGAAAATATCATAAACAAAATCATGTGAAAAAACACTGCAGCAATTCACAGTGTTTTAAAGAAAAAAATTACAAAGCTGAATTTTCAATCACTTCAATATTAAAAAAATAAAATCAATAGAGATAATTTTAGAAAAAAAATAGATAACAACACTTTCCTCATATGATTTAGTTTTATTGTAATTATAATTCTTAACCAATTTAATATTAAAAAAAATTGACAAAGATAACTTTGGAAAAAATCATGTGAAAAAACACAGTAGCAATTCTTAAAACAAATTATAAAGCTAAAGTTTTAATCAGGTTAATAATAATAAAAATTAATAGATATAATTTTTAAAAATATATAAAAAAATATGAAAAAATACGATGTTGGAAACACTATAGCAATTCACAGTGTTTTGTAATGAAAGCTATAATGCTTCCCCACATGATTTATAATGCTTCCTCACATGATTTAGCCGTATTTGTAATGACTTCTAATTGTAATTTTCAACCAGCTCAATATTATAAAAATAAAATTGATAATGATAATTTTAAAAAAATCATAAGAAAAAAAACCATGTGAAGAGACACTATAGTAATTTACAATATTTTCTTAGGAAAGCTATAATATTTCCGCACATGATTAAGCTTTATTATAAAGTTAAATTTTAACTAACTCAATATTAAAAAAAAAATTAAAAAAGATAATTTAAAAAAAATATTATAAAAAAAGAAAATAAAAAAGGAACTGAAAAAAACTATGTAAGAAAAAACTATATCGATCCATAGTGTTTTGTGAGGAAAGTTACAATGTTTCCTCACATGATTTAGCCTTACTTGTATTTAATTGTAATTGTAATTCTTTACAAGCTTAATATTTAAAAAATAAAATTGGCAAAGATAATTTTAGAAAAAAACATAACAAAACAGAAAAAACCATGTAGGAAAAAAAATATTATAGCAATCCATAGTAATTTGTGAGGAAAGCTACAGTGTTTTTCTCACATATTGTAGTTGTAATTATTAACCTGCTCAATATTAAAAAATAAAATAAAAAATAATAATTTTTAAGAAAATCATAAAAAAACAAAAAAAATAATGTGAAGAAATATAATAATTTTTAAGAAAATCATAAAAAAAAAAATAATGTGAAGAAACATTGTAGCAATCAATAATATTTTAAAGAAAAAAATTACGAAATTAAATTATCAATTAGCTCAAATATAATTTTGAAAAAAAAAATATAAAATCTCATGTTGCTATTATATCCTTCATTTTTTCACAGCAGTATACTTTAATAATTTCTTCCTGGTTTCATCCATAACAAGCAAAGCGATTCAGAACGGAAATCATACCACTAGATGGCAATGGTGATGAAGCTTAACAAGACCAAGAAGATGAAAGCATGCTCTCCATGCTATCACATTCCTTAATGTTTGTTGATCATGACATCCAGTTCTGTTGCCTATTTCAATGATGAAACATCGCACCAAGCTGAAAATCTTTGTTGCTGATTCAGAAGTGATTCAAACCCGAGTGCTTTGTACTTGTGTGAAAATTTGTATTCATTATCTTATATTCATATTCGTTCCACAATTGGGTAAAAATTTTGTCCATGCCCAGTGCTTGAGATTTGAGAAACGCTGTGAAGTCAGAGACTTGTTCAAAATGGCACTCCAAAGTTTCGGACTTCCTTGAGCAAGCTGCTTCTGTTCATTTGATTATAACTAGAGGATGTAATAAGAATCTAGGACTATCTATCTTTCCTTTATTTTCTCTTTTGTATTTGTAAGAGATGGCATGCTCTCGCGCTATCGCGAGTTTATAAAACAAATATACATAATAGTATTATAATTGGTTCATAATTGTGAACCAATACTAGATAAATAATAGAAACTAAAAATATGATAGAGCTAATATTTCATGATGAAAAAAAATGTATTGATAATCAAAAACTTATAAAATAAATATACATGATAGTATTATAATTGGTTCATAATTGTGAACCAGTGCTAGATAAATAATAGAAACTAAAGGTATGATGGAGCTAATATTTCATGATGAAAAAAAAAATTGTATTGATAATCAAAACCTTATAGACTGAACAAAATAATTTGTAGCAATCCACAGTATTTTGTAAGGAAAGATACAATGCTTTCTCCATATGATTTAGCTTTTATCTTAATAAAAAGATTACAAAGCTAAATTTTCTATCAACTTAATATTAAAAAAATAGATAAAAATAATTTTAGAAGGAAAAAAACTCATGAGGAAAAACATTGTAGCAGTTGACAATGTTTCGTGAGGAAAACTACAGTTCTTTCCCCAATAAAATCGACAAAGATAATTTAAAAAAAAATAAAAAAACCATTTAAAAAAATACTGTAGCAATACACATTGTTTTGTAATGAAAACTACAACGCTTTCTGACACGACCGAAAGATTGATGTTTTCTCCCAAGTAACAAATAATCCAGCAAGACCGGGATCGAACCATAGAGAAGTTAATTGTATAAATTATAGATAACAATAATACAAAAACAACAACAATAACAACAACAAAAGTA